CTGCCTTCTAATTCCTAACACATTGCTCCACACCTTTGTTATCAGGTGAGCTGTCTGTAGGGTCGCCTTTGACTTCATCGAGAGGCTCATCAAGAATGTCTTCGTCCTCGCCGTCAACATCGGGGATAATTTGTGGACCCTTCTGTCGCCTAGACTTGACTTCATGAGCATATGTGTCAACGAACTCGTCTGGTAGGAAGTAATCGCTGTCAGTGTAGACACGCGTATCGACAGCTTCACGATCAGAAAGTGTCACTGCACGCTTCAAGCTATCATTCCCATCGAATACCCACAGATGCGAGAAACACATACTAGGCTCATTTTCCAATTAGTATGCGCAAGAACAAATGAGTACATTGCATCATATATACAGATCATACTTTGACATACCTCATAACAGCCGGCCCGACATGCATTAAGGACATGCCAGTCGGGGGTATCCCATCCTAAGGCAGAGTGAATGCGCTCCTCCACTTCACGCAGGATATTCAGATACACTTCGTATGTATCCGCAATGATTGTACACATATGATGCCTATAAGGGATCTAGTTCAGTGAGTACATTGAAATACAAAGCATTTACAAGTGATAACATACTTTATAGTATTTGCATATGAGCCTACTGAAGGCTTCGGCACTGAACGATGCTTTGTAGCACCGAATGTCATAATAGAGCTCCAGAGTGCGGAAGGAAATGACAACAGAGGGCAAGATTGCTGTCGTGGTCAGGTATCCGTGTCGTGCAAAGTCGACAGCAGGAGTGTTACTGCTATCCAGTCGCTCGATAGTACAGCTTTGAGTGCAGGTCCAGAGGTCATACACTTTGATAGTGTATGGTGTTGTGGTCTCTTCAACGTCCATCGCGTTGCTCTCACAGTTGGGATACTTGAAGAAAATGTATGCATTCACGAGGGGCTGTATGATAGCTGTCCAACTCGCTTCCCTGCGTGCACGCTAGTCATAGCCGTGCCGACTCTGACGACCGCGCCATTTTCTACAATGTGAGGGAAGTAGTATTAGTTGACAAGAAGTATTACCCATGATATGATGATTACTTACTTTGAGTAATGAAGATTGCAAAGAGCCTTGATGAAAGCCATCCTGGAGTCATCATGGTCTATTGAAGACTCCGGTGCAATATCCTGCCATGCTTGACCCCCATCATCGTTGAGATGTTTGAAAGCCATGGAAGAGACATCGGAGATACTGCTTGATAAGTTCTCTAGTTGTCTGCGGGTTTCGGGAGATAGCCCTATGCAGGAAATATCAAAATACAATAAATACCACTAGTTGGCATCTCGATTGTCAAGAACCGCAGTCGACACACCTATGAGAGTCTGTTTAATCTGCTCTCACAGAATTTTCTCTGCTCTGTCATGCCTTGCTTCCCATATGTTTTCATAACGGCGTGGCGAATGAGTCCCACGTTAAGAAGCCCAGAAGCATTACTTGAGGCAGCGGCATTAAGAACAGTTGATTGGACCTTTTTTAACATTCCACGACGTGCCATGGCGAGACAGGATGCAAATGATTTAGAATATGAGTGAATAGGAAATAAAGAAAGAGATAAAAATGAATTGAAGGTGGGGGGACAGTGTATGCGATGCAGACAAATGAAAGTAAGACTTAGAGCAGCTCGATCGAAAGTGCTCGGTTCAAGCAATTGACATTAATTAAGCATGCATCGATCACTTCCCCGCACTGATTTGCAATCTCGTTTGCATCTCACTCAAGTTCTCTCACTCTGACCTCACCCAGGACGACATGGCAACAACATGTTGGATGTTGCTTAGTCACGTGTCACAGAGTCGATCAGTGTGACTCAGGTAGCCAATATGAGTGCATAATTCCTTCAAGCATGAAGCACTCAAAGTAGTGCCATGTGAGGGTCACATGATCTGCCTTAGGGATGACTAGTAAGGTACGTCCTGCTAGTACTGAACTAAGGCCTGATAGCTCAGTGGTTAAAGCGCTAGCTATATATGCTGGAGGTCCTGGGTTCGATTCCCAGTCAGGTCACTCTTTTCGCTCTGCCTTCCTTTAACACCATGACGTCTCAGTGTGCCGAAATATGGCATCTTACAAGAAGCAGCAGCAGGAGCAGAAGCAAGCACAGACTGCAGCAACAGAATCAGCTGGCAATGCAAGTGCTCATTCCTCTTCTCTCTCAGCCCAAGTTTCTGATGAATGGCTTATAGACTCAGGTGCTACATCGCATGTGACGCCCCACAAGCACTGGTTTGCATCCCTGCAGCCTCACAAAGTGCCTGTGAGGCTTGCAGACAAGTCTATAACCTATTCTGAAGGAAAGGGAGAAGTGCACTTCATACCATCTGGATCTCCCCATGCTGTTGTTTCTGTCTCCAATGTACTCTATGTTCCACACCTTGGTTGTAATCTATTTACTCCGCTTCACCTCACTCAGCATCGAGAGTTTGAAGTAAACATCACCAAAGGAGACATGAGATTCAAGAGGAATGGAGATACCCTCTTCACTGGCACAGTCAGTGATGACAATGTGGCTAAACTCGATGGTTCGATCAGGTGCCCTTATCAGACTGCAAATGCTGCCAGACTCGACAAGAACCTGCTTCACAGACGTCTGGTGCATATCTCTCGAGATAGGGTTGATCAGCTTCTAAGGGAAAACCTTGTAGTCAATTTCAAGCTCAACTCTGATGCTCCCATGGACAACATATGCACTCCCTGCATTATGAGCAAACAGCATCGCGATCCCTTCCCCAAAGAAGCCTCAGATCGAAACTTGAAGCCTCTGGACCTTGTAGTAACTGATGTTCATTCTGTATCATCTCCAACTGCTCAGGGCTATCGCTATTGGATTATTTATTCCGACATAACCACCTCCTTTGTTTGGGTGGGAGTCATGAAGAGAAAAAGCGAAGCCTTTGCTCTGTTCAAGGTGTAAAAGGCCTGGGCAGAAGCACACTGGAAGCAAAAGATTCGCACTCTGAGAGATGACAAAGGAGGCAAATACAACATACTGCAAGGCAGAGGGAATCCAGAGAGAGCACACGGTGCGAGCCACACCATAGCAAAATGAAGCTGCAGAAATGATGAATCGTACTCTGGCAGAAGGTGTCACCTCAATGCTTGTAGAAGCCAATCTCCCCCCATCATTCTGGGGAGAGGCTCTCAGCACCTTTGTATATGTCAGAAATCGATGTCCAACTGCCTCCATTCCATCCAATGTAACCCCAGATGAGCTCTGGTACAAGAAGAAGCCAACCATCTCTCACCTTCGAGTGTTTGGCTGCAGAGCATTTGTACATGTTCAGAGAGGCCAGAGAAAGTCGCTTGAGCCTCATTCCAACCTCTGCATCTTCCTTGGTTATCCTGAGGGCATGAAAGGATGGCGTTGCTATGATCCTGCTACAAAGAAGATTCTGGTTTCAAGGGATGTCATCTTTGACAAATACACCTTTCCTGGACTTGGCACCAAAGACTCTGGCAATCACTCTCGATCATCAGACACCACGCTATTTGACCTGGGCACAAACAGTGTCGTCCATCTGCCACTCGATGATCCAGAAGACTTGCCAGATTCGGTGGGAGTGCAAGGCCAAGTTCCAGAAGCAGCACTTGATGTTGCTGAGCACATCCCTGAGCAACCAGAACCAGTGCAGGATCTGGCACCTCCAGCTGTGGAAAGACCTGCTCCCAGAGGGAATGGCACTTGGGAGCTAGTCAAGCTTCCACCAGGGCAAAAAGCCATTGGCTGCAGATGGGTCTTCAGGACCAAGTACAATGCGGATGGGTCCATTGAGCGCCACAAAGCCAGACTTGTTGCAAAGGGATTCAGCCAGAGACCTGGCCTGGAATACACCGAGACCTTTGCTTCAACACTCAAATGGGCTACCCTGCGTACCATCCTGGCCATTGCTGCAATTGAAGATCTCGAGGTCGAGTCTATAGACTTCTCCACCGCATACCTGAATGGAGAGCTTGACAAAGAGGTCTACATGAAGCAGCCAGAGGGCTTCACAAAGCAGGATCCAGACTTGGTCCTCAAACTGGTCAAGGGACTCTACGGGCTGAAGCAAGCTGGCAGACTCTGGTACAAGAAACTGGCCGCCACTCTGGTCGAGATGGGCTTCAGAATCTTGCGCTCAGACTCCAGGTGTCTACATTCTGGAAAGAGATGGGGTGACAGTCATCATACCTGTCTTTGTGGATGATTGCACCCTGGTCTCCAAGTCAAAAGCTGCCATTCAGAAAATCAAGACTCAGCTCATGGAGAAGTTTAAACTTCGAGCCCTTGGACCTACAGAGTTCCTACTAGGTGTGGTCATTACCAGGAACAGATCTGCTCACACCCTGCATCTCTCTCAGAGGCAATACATCCTTGACATTCTTGCGAGATTCAGTATGACAGATTGCAAGCCTGTGTACACATCTATGGAGCCTGGCCTGAAACTCACATCTGAAATGTCACCTAAAACAGATGAGGAGAAGGAGGCCATGCACTCTGTCCCGTATATCAATGCGGTGGGAGCCTTGATGTACCTAGCTACAAGCACCAGGCCGGATATAGCCTATTCTGTTTTTGTATTAAGCAGATACAACTATAATCCTGACCCTGAGCACTGGAAAGCGGTCAAGCACCTGTTCAGATACCTCAAAGGCACTCTGGACTACTGCCTGACGTATGCACCAACAGAGTCTCCAGAGACCGTTGTGGCATACTCTGATGCTGACCATGTGTTATTAGCCACTTGACATCATTAGGGTCAGCCACTCACAGAGTGGCTCTTATCATGGTGGCTCATATCAGATCTTATTGTTCTCAATCTCATTGTCTCTCAGTGGCAAGTAGCCACTGCTCTCTGTATTTAAGAACTCTGTACCTATAGTGGCAATACATTCTGTTTTCCCCCTTCCCAAGTCGAGTTCTTGTGAGTCTAACATCAAGTGAAGATTCTGAATCGGATGATGGCAAATTCAGAGACTCAATCTGTTAAAGTCATGCAGAACAAAAAGAGTGATCTGACTGGGTTTCGAACCCAGGACTTCCAGCTTATATAGGCAGTGCTCTAACCATTAATCCATCAGGCCTTAGCTGCTGTACAGACTAAGGCTGCCCAGTCTTACAAGCTTATCACCTGACCGGCTCATAACCTGGTTCAGTGTGAGTCCGCTGGTGCAACTTTCGTGACATGTGACTAAGCAAGTCCAACACAATCACCAATGCTATTGATTGCGCCCTCAACCCTGGAACAGAAAGTGGCATAAAGAACAAAGTGAATAGTGTAATATGAATCGCGCATGTATGATTTGCTAATGGTTCATGGAAAGGCTCTGTCCCAAGTTCGCTACACTTATATAGAGTCTCAATGCACTATTCATCGCCTTGAAAGAGTGCTTGCAAAATTGAAGGCCTAGAAGTCGGCATTCAAACCTCGCCATTTTAATATTGCAATTGTCCCTGAAAGCATTGCACTATTCTATGAGTCCATTGTAAGAGGTTCGTCATTGTGCGCTCTCTGTGGTTTGGTCCGAATGTTGTTGGCCAATCCTTCCTACAACCTCCAATCCACAGCTTGAAAGAAAGATTCCGAAATAAGAAGAGCGAATGACTCGAACTGATAACCGAGCTATATGATATGCTTCCTATTTTATTGCATTCACTGTGTGAAAAGCATAGTGAGTTTTTGCGCATGTAAGTCTGCAACACTTTGAATATCTACTGTACTGATTAACAATCTGCGCAGTTCACAAAGGCTATGGGCAAGATACGTTCAATCGTCATCTCAAATCTGAAGAAGAAGATACATGAGCTTTACAAGCTACCTCCTCCACCTAACGACTTCTACTCCGACCCCGTCGTTCATGCAAACTTGCCCAAGGTGCAATGCCTCATGAGGGACCCTGCAAACCCAAAATGTTATCTTCACCATCCCTCCATTTTTTATCCTGATTTTAACTGTAGCAATGAAGCAAAGGTCTTCATGCATCCTGCAACGCTGAAAGTGAGTATGTTCTTAGCGTGTTATGTGCATCTTATACTGAACATATTTTGTAGCTCTTATGGATGATGCTCTTCGGCGAGAGCTCTCCCAACAATGAGTTTAATAGTGCTAAGGTAAAGCAAACTCTACCCTCGACAACCAACGGGGTTCTGTGAGGCATCAATATGGTAACTTCTGGAGCTATTGCTGTGATCGCCACTATGGTACGTATTCATGTTCTGTTCCTTTATTGTACATCTATTGAGTCACATCTAGACTCAGTTTTTGTTCATCAAGGATACCAGTTTCTTCGATAATCTCTGCTTTGAAGCAAACCCATCTGGCATTGATTACCTGTTGAAGGACTACAAGTACAAGTGCTTTCTTCTCAAGGAACTTGACAATGATGTGAAAGAATTCCACGACATATTCTATGAGTGGAACCGCGTGGTATTTTTTCGCAAGAAGGGTAACTATTTTTAGAATACCACTTCAGCCGAACCTACTCTCGGGCTTCTAAGAATGCGGAAGAAGACTCCAAGGGTTTCATGGCAATGCACAAAAGGTTTGTTGCAAGCAAACAGGCAGTTGCCGAGGGGAGGAATCCATCTACTATGAGGGGTGGACCCTTGCGCATGTCAGTGTGTCGTGATATAACCTAAAAGGTGGGGGGACAGATGAGGGCTTAGAGGACGATGCGCATCTGACAGGTGAGATTGAATCTCATTCTGATATATCTATATATATGAATCAAACTTGCTTGTAGATGACAGCATCCCCATTGCCATGTTCACAAGTGTCACTCGACATGGTGAGGGATCATTGCAAGTTGACCCCTTACCTCAACAGGCCATGAGCAATGCCCCCAAACGCATCAGCAAACGCACTCATCGGACTGGCCGTAGCAATGTTCCCCCCTCTGAACCAGAAGATGAAGATACCCCTGTCGCTTCCCTGCCATAGATCATTCAATAAAGGGGAAGGTCACGAGAACTTTGAGAAGTCACGTGCAAATGTAGGCATACTTTGTCAGACAATGTTTGCTTCTGAAATTTATATAAATCATGTTATATTGTGACATAGAGAACATCTATTTCTTGGTAAAGTGGCATTCTCAAGGGCCTTGCGAGTTGCTCAGGATGAGCCTTGGTATCTACTGATAAGGCGATGATAAGATAGCATAAGTTTCATCAGCGTCATCTTCTCCTTTGTTCTCTTCGTCTTTGTTGTGTTTGATTCTTTTGAAAAAACTCGTAGTTGTTCTTTGTGATAGTGTTAAGTACGAATCTTCCGAAAGTCTCAGAGATTTTGATAAGACCTTGGAGAATACAGACTCTGTCGTATAGTGGGCTATGGCCTCAGCTTATGTGCTGTGCCCTGCTCGAGTTCGGGGCCCTATTTGAGTTGACCGTGTCTCGCACGAAAGGGGTCAGAAGAATCGGAATCTCCGAAGTACCGAGGTATTCGAAGATGTCGAAGAATGGGGATGTGTGAAGTACTAAATCAATTAATACTTACAGAGTCAAGTCTCGAGACAAGTCTAATGACAGGTCTGATTCGAAAGAACTCGAAGACGAGCTTGAAAGTTCAGATAAAGAGAGTCTGGAGACTAAGTCGATAATTTGACTGAAGAACAAAATACAAAGTAACTATGCTTAAATACTGTTTTACAAGGATACTCATGTAAAACATGAGTTGTGTGTGTTCATGTGAAAATACAATATGTTTTGAGAAATCGAAGAAACGAAAATAGTAAAAATAATAAGAAAGTAACTCATGTATCAATAAAAATAAAGATCATGTGAAGAAATGAGTTATACAATTATAGCCAAGAGAGATATGACAGGTGACAAATAAGATATTGGAAATGTATTCGGAAGATATCGAAAAAAAATTGGAGATTAGAAAAGGAAATCAAAGATAAAAGGAATAAACACAGTCATATGATTAATCAAGGTCACGTGATGGAAACGATACGTAACAGATAGCTAGGTGTTGCTCTAACAGCAGATAATCTAGTAATTCAGTTCTTCTGTATTGAATTAACACATTGATACAACATTTAAATAATTACTCTGTTAGCATATTCAGTTGTGCCGTTTTACTTCAAATGATATACCCTTGACATTTGCAGATTAATATTAATAAGCTTGTGTAGGTGAGTTCAAAAGAAATGTAAAAAGTACATCACGATTACTGATAATAGAGCGTGACATACCATAATACTTATAGACTTCAACAAATATGAGCTCAACAATGTGTATCACTGTGTATATAGTTTGACTACGCACTAAATGTACCATTGAAATATGTAGATCTATTATTACGATTATCGAGTCATATGTTAAGTTGCAATCTTTAGATTTAAACAATAGTCTGACAAAGTTAATATCTATAGCCTCTCAAGGTTTACCAAATATGTCAAATGAATTCAGTAACCTATATGACTTCTAATTGAAAGGCTTATTGTATTTACAGATTTGATATGTATCACAGAAGGTTTTTAAGTCGACAAGCAAAGTCTTTCACTACACATGATCACGAAGGAGTCCAATTGTCTTGTATGCTTCAAAATAAATCAATAAGCTGTGCATATGAGAAATGATAATTTCATAAATACTTTGATCATTCAAATAAAGAATATTAAAAACACATAGAAAAAGAATCATTTTCTAAATCTTAGAAATTATAAAGGTTTTAATGCATAGACAATTTATGATATAAACATAGAAAAGCTAAAAGATAATAAAGATTTGAAGAAAATTTGTAACATTTTCATTACAGTTAATAAACAGCTGTAGTCTTTTGTAATCAGATTACAATTAAATGTAGAAATTTGCATATCAATTAATGACATCAGAAAAAACTTCATTTTTCAAATTTTGTCAATTATAGACAATTTAAATATAATGAGATATAATTGACATTTTTGTTTTAGTTTTCTCTAAAAAGCTTCAATTATCTAGACTATCCTTATTCTGAACTTCATTTCTCTAATTTGACAGAAATTTTTATCTTCGAATTGAAAAGAATTATTTATAAATAACTGCAATCTCCTTCCTCTAACACTTCATTGATCAATTCTAATACATTATTGACTTTAGTTATAATATATAATAATATAATTTACTAGTATTTAAATTTATAATGAACACCATTACAATTGAATTTAATATGCAAAGGCAATCATAAAATAAAATGAAATATATAGTTGGCACTATTAAGGATTGAAGTCAATGTCTCCTGAATACACTGTCAAGCAGAGCTCTAGCCACTAGATCCTCAGACCATATAATATCTATGAAGCAATAGGCCATATATACCATTTTTGGGAATATATCTCATAAATAGATAAAACTTATGCATTTTTTCATGGCTCTCTATCATCTAAAGATCAGATATACTTTATAAGTATTAACACTAGATTATATAAATAGTACTATGAATTAGATATTTTCAGCATCATTAAAGGTCAGTTAATATCACACTAATGAATATACAATACATCAAAAATATTTAAATCATGTTAGAATTAGATTGAAATTAGATTGGCATTGCATTTCTATTGAGCTAGAATTTAATTATAATTTGTCAACAGTTAGTGCAATTGGAGGTGACCTAGTCAGACCTCATCAGACTCATTCAGGTTTATAAACCTTTACATACTATTATCTAAAAATTAAATAGACATTTAATCAATAGGCATTTTTAATTTAGATTAGCTATCAGTTGCATTACATTGAATATATTAGAAAAAGGAGGTTTTTCCTGATAACTAATAAGCGTCTAATAAATGCTCCATGTTTGATGACATCAATTCTGAGTCAATACGATTCCTGAGATACAAAGAGAATAGTTAACTAAGACCAAAAATTTGGGGGGTTTTGGGCACGTAATTTTTTTACTATGATTGTGGGAAACTCAAAGTATTATAATCATTTGAAGTAAATTTGTAGCATTTTTATTAAAGTGAATAATTAAATTATAGTGTTTTGTAGTTTGATTATAACTAAATATAAAAATTCATACAGAAGCTAATAAGCATCTACAAGCATCCAGAACATGATGCCATCATTTTCAACTTCAAATATTAATCATCTATAATGA